ATAATCCAGTGCTAACATCCTGGGTTCAAATTCAACTCTCACTTAACTAGCTATGTGAGTTTTAGTCATGTAATTGTTATGTGAGCTTTCTAAGAAACCTTACTCAATTGTAAGATATACAGAGTACCTGAATCACAGATACATACTGTATGAATTGATGATATAAGAAGAGTAGTTAGCATAATACATAGATCTTAATACACACCAAAAATTCAGTAAGTTTAAGCTAAAATCAACCTGGCTTAGGCCTTGTCTTATTAAAACACACTTTACTTGGTATTTGAATTAGAAATGCAAACTTATAATCAAAATACTCAATGGAAAAAAAGGTTAAATAAATTATGATACATCCATAGTATAGAATGACATATAGCCATTAAAAATAATGGAAGCCTATCCTTTCCTAATGCAGACATGACCACTTGATATTGATTTTTTAAAAGTTGATTGCTAAAGAGCATATCATTGACCAATGCTTGACCCCATGAATCTCAGAAATATAAATATACTCTTAACAACATTAATACAAAATTGTCTTCTCCTCTCCAAACCGGACTTTACCACAAACATCCAAACACTTCTACCTTCTATCACTTTTTAGGTTTGTCTTCTGAACCTAAAATTTTACTGCAACTGCTTTAACTGACGAAACCTATGACACCTCTTCAATATTTATCCTCCTGAAGGATTTATATCCTCAGTCACCTTGATATTTCTTCCTTGCATGCTAAGTCGCTTCAGTCATGGTTGAATCTTTGTGATCCCATGGACCGTAGCCCACCAGGATCCTCTGTCCATGGGATTCTCCAGGCAAGAATGGTGGAGTGGGTTACCATGCCCTCCTCCATGGGATCTTCCTGACCCAAGGATTGAACCTGTGTCTTCTGCATTGGCAGGCAGGTTCTTTACTCTTATCTTTGTCTACTCCTTTCTCATTTTCTATCTGCATCTTAAAGTAATGACATATATGGGGTTGCCTCTCCTCAGCCCTTTTTCCTCCTTGTTCCATATCATCTCAATTAGTCTGCAACTTACTGCTTGATCTGAACTACCATTCATCTGCACAAATCAGTAATGCCCGACCCTGTTTTTACCATTTACCTTGATCTTTCTCTAGAAGATCAGACTCAGGTTTCCAAATGCTTACCTCTTACAGATTTGGCTATGTAATGAGATATCCCTTTCAGCCTCTCTTAGGCAAGAGTATCACTAAGATCCTTTTATCAGACTAAAAGATCTGTGATCACTGATTATTCCCTAGCTTTTCATCTCTAATTCATACCATGTGCCATACCTGTGTCTCTATTCATAGAGGTTCTATCTCAGATAAGATTTTCATTTGGATATTAGACTGTTTTAATAATTTCCTAAATTGTCTCTTTATAACAGCCTCTCATAACACAAAGGCTTCCTAGATTGTATTTTAGTAGTAACACCAGAAACAGATCAAAGGTTTATCTTGTCACTATCTTGTATGAAAGCCTTCTCCACAGGCTCATTGCTGATTACACAATCCTGGCTTGGCTTACTGGGCTTGTGCAATATGGCTCGTAAGTTCTCCACCTTTGTCTCCACTGTGCTCCTCTGCATATGTGAAATAACCATCAAATTAAACATCTGAACAGTTCCCAAACAAGATCTGTTATGACTTGCCTCCATACTTTCTGTTCTACATTTCTTTGCCTGCAATGTTCGTTGGTTGTCTTTGGTTAGTAAACTCCTATTCATCCATCAACAACTTTGAGTGGTCTTCTTTGATGCTTCGTGGCAAATTCAGAGTCCCACTCTTTCACAGGCCGCGAGTAAAATACATGACCAGTGTGATGCTTCTCACTTTATGGAATCTCCTGGTTTTTTAACCAAATGATATGCAAGCTAGTTAAGGAGAGCAGCCATGTGCCTACTACAGCAAATTATGTTGTTACTAAGTATTTACCCTTTTTCTTTTTTGGTAATGATGGTAAACTATGATGTTAGAGACTATGCCAACCTTATTGACCACACAGGTTTGTTTATTCCCCACCCCCTCACCCTGAAATTTGCTAACAAAAGAAGGGTAGGGGAGAAGGAAGAAAGAATCTACCCCAGGCCCCATGCCTGAATCAACCAGATTCAACTATGGAACCTCCTGAAGGAAAAATAAGGAAACCATGTTACCCGAGCAGACTACTGAGAAACCTTAAATGTGGTACACAGATCTATGGGTTCAAGAGTTATCCTGCTGGGAGAGATGACAGCTAACCAGATAGCCTAGAGGAAGCCCTTCTTGCTACTAGTACTTCCCAATCCATTCCTATATGCAATTTTAGCATATCATTTTGAGAAGCATACACAATTCTTCCCCTCCATAACCTTTGGTTTTAGAATCTAATGATAGGAGTTTCTAGTTTCTATGACAATTTCAAGACTGTCTAGTGCAACCACACTTGGATGCCTGACTTTCTTGAAAGCATCTCTACAAAGCCGTCTATACTTCTAAGGCTAAAGGTTTTGAGTGTGTTGGAAATGCAGACAGCTTTATTTGCAAGTTTTGTTATATCGAGGCAATTTCTTTTTCTATTCAACTTTCACCCCTTTCTCTTTTTTCTACACTCTGAAGACACACAGAATGTGTCTAATCCTCTTTTTTTTTTCTTCTTTTGGAATGAGGCCTTCAAATAGATAAGAGAGGATATTAAATGTCCCTTTTATGCCATGTATTTCCCACACTTAACTTCACCATGCCCTTTGCCACATCTCATGTAACATAATTTCCAGTTCATGCACTCATCTAGTTATTCCACTCCAAATGACATCCAGCGGTCTATGCCCCCTTCAAGAGTGCTGTTTAAGTCAGGTGTGACCAAACCAAAGAACAGAAGAGTTTAGCAATCTCATCTAGATCCTCCACTCCCTTAATGGAGTCCAATGTTGAACTGGCACTGGGGACAGTCACCCTTTATTTCTACACTGCTCTCACTGAGCTTACATTTACACTCTTAAGTTTTTTTGTTTTAAATTAGATTTAAATTCTTATAGCTCCTAAGTCCCCCTCCCTACAAAACACTGAACACAAGATTTCCAGAGAGAATTTAGAGGATAACAGGATACCAATGGAATCATTTCTCTCACTGACAAAGTCTTACACACTGATAGCTTTAGAATATAAATAGGAGTTATCCTGGATCACTTCAGAATCTAACAATGTACAGTTGGCCCTCTGTATTCACAGATTCAACCAACCACAGATCAAAAATACTGGAAAAAATCCAGAAAGTTCCAAAAAGAAAAACATACACTTGCCACATGCCACCAATGACTTACATAGCATTTGCACTGTATTAGGTACTGTAAATAATTTAGAGATGATTTCAAGATAGAAGAGGACATGCATAGGTTATATACAAATACCATGTCATTTTATATAAGAAACTTGAGCAGCCACAGATTTTTCTGTCCACAGGGGTCCTGGAACCAACTCCCCTCACATACAGAGGGGCAGTGGTATATATGGTATCACTCATACAAAACTTATAATGGAGATTCTGGACAAAAATGTACAGAGAAGAGAGAAATAAAAACGCAAAGGTCTAGAAAGAAATATCCTTCCTGTATCCCTGAAACTTCTCTACTATAAAAGTAATTCAAGATTTTATGTGCACAATAGGATAGCATTTCCTAAGGTATAGTTCAAGAAACATAGTTCTATGGGATGTCAACATATATTAGTGGAGAAATGAGAAAGATCAAAATAAATAAAAATAAATAAGGACCTTTCAGGCCTTAAATTTACAAAGGTGAATAGTGACATCTCAGATCTAATAAAGCATCAAAATTATCTCAAATGGTTGTTAAAAGTAACAAATTCCTGGATTTCACCCTGAAGACCCTGATTTACTAGGTCCAGGAGAGATGCAGGAATTTGTCGTTTGAACAACTGTCTCGATGACACTGAAGCTGTCAGCCAAGGAACCATTTTGGAGAGTCACTGGGGTTTGACCATGGACAATCTGATGAAAGCAGTTTTTCTAGGGTATATATTTTCAGAAATTATATGCTAGATTCAGTACCACTTCGGCTATCTAGAAAATGAGAGCACCGTAGACACCTTTTTTTAAAAAAATTACTCTGAATGGAGAGGAGTTTGTAGGTTAGCTTTGTTTTTACCCCAAATCTTATCTAAGGAAAGCAACCATCTTTTTCCAGTAAGATGCCCAAACACCCCAAATATGTCTGTTTCTTCAATTCCATGTTAAAAATGAATCTTACATATACAAAAAAAAAAAAAACGCTTTGGCCATGGCAACATTTATCCTGGAAACAGAAACAATGTAGAATGATGCGTCAAGTTAATGACTTGCAAAATTGTAACAGAAAAATTTCTGAGTGAGGTGCTAAGTTTGGGATACATTTTTTCCAAGACTAAATAACTATAGGTCCACGCCTAGTCACCCTTGTATTTTTCATGAAAGTCACTGGAAAGATCAAATTATTAATATGTCTCCTTTTACTTAAAAACATACTTTGACATCTCATCCTGACAAAGTCAGTACTTTGGGAAAGCTAACATTAGGATGGGAAGCACTTATGAATACAAACTCAAGCAAAGAACAACTGAAGTTTGGCAACACACAAAAATGTCATATACTTTCACAACAAAACTTTGCTCTTCCAAAAACAAAATATAGCTCCAAAGACGCACACATATGTTCACTTACAAATGCAGCACACACAATCATTCTGGGAACAGCCAGCTACTATACATTGTGCATCAACTCAATAGTGCCATTCATCTCAATTATTATAGCACAAATAATACTTGCCCTCCCTTTCTCATTAATATTCTCTCAAGGGATGGCTTTCTAAAAAGAAAAAAATAAAATTTATAAAAATTTCATAATTCCAAGATATAACAGCAACAGTCATACACATAGCTGCAATAAAAGGCATTTTCATAAAAAGTCTAAACATGTGGATTTTTCTTAGCAAAATGTAAGCAAGCTTTTTTCACTTAAAGGTACCTGTAAAATGTGACTTCCCAAATGTGCTTCAAATACTTCAATGGCCAGTGCACTGGGGCTTCTCCTTCGTTGTGCACCTATAACTTAAAGAAAAAAGAAAAAAAGAAAAGAAAGAAAGAAAGAAATTAAGTTGGGGCTCCAATTCACACCTTCAGCTTCATTTCTCTTTAACTGTATCACTAGAGAGCTACTATAGCTCTAAGACCTGAGAGAATCACAAGCCAGTTTTAACCCTGGTTCTCAGTTGCCTGAGCAAATCAGAGCGGAGGTTGAATTTTCATCTCAGAATATCAACTTCTACAAACATTAAAATCAGATTTAATGTTTTTCTTTTTGGACTGTTTTCCCTACCCTGGAGCAAAAAACAGAGGAATGTTCACATTTTTAAAAAATAAATTAGTAAGCTGCTTTTCTTAAAATTTAGGTATTGTTATTTTTAAAGCAAATACATATTTCCTTTTCCTCCCAGAGAAACCTGAACATTTAATATCCTCTAGGCCAGGAAAAAAGCAAACAGGATTTTTTAAATGTTCTAATGCAATAACTTTATCATAATTTAATAAGCACAACATGTTGGCTAGGAGATTCTCATTAGCGACTGTTTGCACTAGTGTTAAGTGTCTCAGGATGGCTGGATTTCATATTTACTGAACATTCACGTGTAACTATTCCTACAGGACCTGCAGGAAGCCCAGGTGGAAGCTTGTTTAGCCTGTACCTCACAGCTCAGTGACTGTTTCCTTATCGGAATACTTCTGTCCTTCTGCTAAGGTATAATCAGTCTTTCTGTTCCAGGCATACCCTACATGTGTTGTCTGCAAGCACATACACCCAGAGAGCCTCCCAATCCTTAACAGAAGGGGTTACTGCATGATATTTGGGGGATCCAGAATTGAGGGTCATGGCTTCACTATTTCTTTTTTTATTTTTTGCACGGGGTCATGATTTGCTTTTAAATCTGTTCTAGCTATTTTTCCAGTATTAAAAAGTTCTCAAACATAAAAATCTACTTTGCTTTCCAGCAATTTATGAAAGCATATATTCAGAACTTTTCCATATTTCAAACAAATACATCCCTTCTCTCTTCCTGCTTTTCTTAAAAATTGTATGACAAACCTCAATTCCCTCAAATCTAGACACCATGAATTGAAAATAAAATTAAACACCCTACTTTCTTTCTTCTCCAAACACCTTCAGCTAGTTGACAAGACAATACCAGCAAAATGCTGCTGGGATAATTCTGTTGTGTCTCAGTTATTACTAAGTCAGTTAGTTAAATCCATACCTTCATAGGGATTATAATATAAATGTACTTAGGATTATTGTGCTGTGCAAAAGTAAGCAGTTCCCCCCTGCAACTGTGAGCTAATGTCTGCCATGTCTAAAAGGCACTTTGAAACTATATGAGTGGTAAGTATCATTATTACTTGCAAGAGGAAATAAAAAAAGGCATTTTTTTTCCAATGGGAAAATTTATAAAATATAACTGAAGAGTGATTATTATCAAGGAATATTCCAGTTGGAAGGGAATTTAGAGATCACTATTCTAACTTCTTCATTTGCTTCAGAAGCAAAACACACAACTAATAATCTTAAAATAGAAAAAATCAATTTTCTACCCTAAGATTAATCATTACTATAAGTATAGACATAAGATTTTTAAAAATTTTAATATTAAGATGTACTTAAGACAGTATTACTGGGTATGTGTGCATTTCTGATTAATTTCCTATTCTAACATGCACATTACTCCCTTCAAAACTCCTTTGGCATTTTTGATAATGCAGCTGTCTTGCTGAATACTGTTTTCAGTTTCTAGAGTGTTAATTGCACATTATGGTAGCTTGGTGTGAATGATCCCACATGAATAAAATCTGCAGTTCTCTTTTTTTTTTTTAAAGATTGCTGGGGGGAGGGGAGCTTTGGGGAGGCAGAAGGGGGTGTTGAAAAACTTCAAAAGTGTCCACTCTGTTATTGAGGCAGTAATTGGGATTCAGAAAGCTCTTTATTAATAGTTTAAAATTTGGGGGCATTTCAGGACTTCCAATTATGAGGTTCAAAATAAACCCCTGTAACTCACAGAAAAAATGGACTGATCTCAGAGAACATACGCTATTCTCCAAAGAACTGGATTAAGAGGGGGCAGCAGAGTAACAGCCACCAATCTATTGAGGACCTTGAAACATCACAGGAAATGAAAGGAACTTGTTCATTCACTAGAAGGTCCAAGGAGTATGCTCCAATAACAACTGCCTTCTTGAAGCATGAACTATAGTGTAGGAACTATACCAGGTTCCTGCAGGGATTATTTCAGCCTGGCCATTGATGGTCATTCTTTTCTTGCCTTTCCTCAACTTAAGGCTCAGCTGTTCTTTAGGTAAGTGGTGCAAATGCATAAATAATTAGGAATTTTATTTTAAAAGCTTATTAGTCAGTCTGGGGATCCCACATGCCTTCATCAGGTCTTCTGTCCACGAGTCCTACACCTGCATAGTTGTTTTCCTTTGTTCTTCAGATCCACTATGGAAACCTGAGTGTGCATTCTAGTACATGCGAGCATAACACACAAGAATCTTGTAAGCGATTTCATGCTTTTCCCTTCAGTGGCATTTTTATGATACTGGAACTTCTCTTGATTTATATGTTTTGCACTTATGCAGGTGATGTGGGGCTGTAATGACAGTTCCTAATTTTACAACCAACATAAATATGTTAAACAGGAACCCATTATGCCCCAGGTAGAAGCCCAGCTCTAACTCGAAGCATTATTGGTGATTGAATAGATGTTAAATGTGTACTTTTCATCCCACCACATTTGAGATTTTGAGTACTGAGATAATAATCTGATAACTCAGGAACAATGCAAGCACAGTTATTTTGTTCCTCTATGTTAATCTCATTGTGTTTCTGGAGTATCATTTATGCCTAAAGAAAAACTAAAGAGGCACTTCCTCAATGAAGGTCATCATTTTCAGAAAAGTAATACATTGTTTATGAAGTTCTCTCAGACTGCTGTGTTTTGGAAGTTGACAGTTTCTAAAACAATTTGGTAGCCCCCACACACTGCATACTTGGTATTGCTATACAGGTTAATGTTTCATCTGTAGCCACTTCATTCATCTGTTCAATTAAAAGACAATGCTTTGAAATGTAAAGAATACTAAATCAACCAAAAAATGCATAGCACATTGCTAAATAAATGGAACATGTAGTCCTATATTTGTGAGGACTATATCTCAGTCACTGACAGTGATGAGAATTGTACCAGGTTATATAAACTGGTAAAAGGAAAAAAAAAAAAAACAAGCCACGGTAATTCAAATTCAATTCAGAAATTACAGAGTACCTACGTGATGTTGAAACTTGCTGGCCACTGTAGGGTAACTAGTGTTATAAAACCTCATAAACATTCCATCAGAAAATTTTAAGCAATTTGAAAGAAGCCTAGGCCCAGCATAACATAATCAAGAAAACAACATGATCCTCTCACATTTTTCAAGGGTTAGAAACAAAACACCTAGAGTTTTAAGAGACTTTAAATAGAAGTGATGTATAGGGAGAAAGATTTTTAAAAATTAACTGAAGAAATTCTGATTGTCTCAGAAATATAAAATGATACGATGAATCATTAGGATTGCACATTTGGCCTTTCTCTCATTAAAAAATGGAAGACAAAAAAAAAAAAGAAAGAAGAAAACCCCAATCTGAAGCATGTATCTGAAAAATTCGTTTTGTCCCTCAACAGTGTCAGCAAAAAATAACCTAGACTCTTCCACATAACCTTGTGAGGTAGTCTTTGAGAATTAATTAAGTGCAATAAAAGACAATCCCTCTTTGGGGAAATACACCACACACTCCCAGTCATATTCCTAACCAGTGCCCGTCACCTTCAGGGATGCACAAACGCCAGGAAGGCTGAGGATTATCGCTCAGTGGGAGTTTGACCTATTCAGACAAAAGGTCAGCTTGCCATTGAAGAACCCATTAGAAAACAGAAGCAGGACAGCTCAGTGGACACACATAATGAACGACGGAAAAGTCATGAGCCATTCTTGCCTTGTGTCCCGCGCTGCTCTTTTCCTCCTAACCCTCCCCGCCCCCATTTCCAGAGCAGCTGGAGCTGCCCCTGCCCCTCCCTGCAGAGCTCACAACGGGAAGGCAAACCACAGACAGGGAGAGAGAAAGGGGCACATTATTTCAGGGCTCCCTTGAAAAAGACACTCCAAAGTGACGATGAGGATGACACTGGGAGGCAGGGTTGCCAAGAAATTGTTTGATTTGGGAAACGTTGTCATTAGCAGATAGGGAAGACCATTTTTGAGCTATTTTCTCATCCAGCTCTCCCTCCACGGGGGGCCGAGCGGCAGGATGGGTGAATGTAGCCTTAACGTTCTGCAGGTGGTATTTCAAGAGTGGAGTCACCCACTGAGAAAAAAGGCAAGCTCGGTGGGTACCCTCGGAATCTGTTGTGTAAGGGGCGAGACTCTGTTCCTACGCTGAGCCTGGGGGAAGACAGGACTAAAGGAAATCCTGGACATCACTCCCTGGGCTTTAGCACTTGGGATAAGCAAAGTCAGAGTCTGGGAAAGAAAACAGCACAGAATGCTTAATGAGTCTTCCCATGACTACCAAGGAGAAGAAAAGGGATTTCCCTTGAAGAATGTCAATTAGCCTCCCTCACTGTAGGGCAGATGAAGCCAGGAAGGGTTTTCTCAGAAGTCTCAGAAGTTTCTGAAGTATATAGTGTATATATGTATCTGTGTCTCCCTATAAAAATAAACATTAATATGCTTTTATCGACTATGGCAACAAGTCTTCATTCTGACACTTATTCTTACCGCTCCACCTACTGCCCAAATTCACAGTTTGTACCCTTTCAACACTAAATTCCTCACTGTTTGTGCACGCCCTAAACACTAGTGGAATTTCAGGTTGGGATGGAGAAGATGCCCAAACAGTAGTGTTAAAATCGAAACTGTTGTCAAAAGCCTGGTGTGTGGAGTTTCCACACACTACATGAAGCGAATGTCTGAAAACAAAGAACAACACTTTTTCAATGTATTTTCACCAAGCTAAATTTTTT